ATATAAGGTGTCTTCTTTTCCGAAATGGTTCGACGGGAATTTGAGGAAGTTGGTTACTCAAAAGAAAATCGTTCATAAAGAATATAAACAAACAGGCAATATGATATTTTATCAGAGATTTGTTGATCTTAGAATACAATGTAAAAACTTATCAAAAATGTGCCATGAGCAGTATTTGAATAAAATTGAAATCAACTTAGCAAACGATCCTAGTTCCTTCTGGAAATTTGTAAATAACAAAAACTCAGCTTACAATTTTCCCAAAAATATGAATTTGGAAAACGAACTCGCTAGCGATGGTGAGGCTATAACGCAGTTGTTTGCAGACTACTTTTCAACGATTTATGTGAATACTCAGAATGTTGCCCATGAAGCTGTTACAAATACTACAAACTACGACATTAAATGCTCTAACTTTTCAGTTTCTACAGTTTATGATAAGATAGTCAAAATTCCTTCGAAGCTCACTTGTGGGCCTGACGGTATACCTAATATTTTTCTTAAACAATGTATATGTTCAATTACAAATCCACTTTGTTTGATTTTCAATTTATCCCTAAACTCTGGTATTTTTCCTGACAGCTGGAAAAACAGTTTCATAATACCTATCTTCAAATCAGGTGAGAAAGAAAATATTAAAAATTATAGAGGAGTTTCGAATCAATCTGCATTACCTAAGCTTTTTGACAGCTTAGTGCATGATCAAATTAGTTTTGCATGTAGAGAAATTATTGATAATAATCAACATGGCTTCATGGCTAAACGATCCACAGTAACGAATCTATTGATTTATCAAAATGACATTATATCAACTTTAGAACGGAAAATGCAAGTGGACTCAATTTACACTGATTTCAGTAAGGCGTTTGATAGAGTAGACCATAATCTGTTATTATTCAAATTAAGTAGTTTGGGGTTTAATGATATTCTAATAAAGTGGATTGAAAGCTTTTTGAAAGGTCGCAAACAGAGGGTTAAAGTAGGATCTTATCTCTCAAATGATATTGATGTGTCATCAGGAGTTCCGCAAGGTTCACACTGTGCACCACTATTATTCAATTTATTTGTCAATGATATAGGTAGTTGCTTCACTCACAGTAAATATCTAATGTTCGCCGATGATTTGAAAATGTATGGACCTGTTAAATCATATGTAGATGTATTGAATCTCCAAAGAGACCTAAACAATTTAGTTAATTGGTGTGATCAAAATAAGCTGAATCTCAACATTGATAAATGTACGTCCATAAGTTTCTATAAAACAAATAAAAAATATGATTCTTCTTATTATATCAATAATAAGGAACTTTTATCAGTAGCGTCATTGAGAGACTTAGGGGTTGTTTTTGATGAAGGTATGACTTTTATAGAGCACATTAATAATGTATCAATAAAGTCGTCCAAGATGTTAGGATACATCCTTCGAAACTGTAAGGTTTTTTCTGTCCATACTGTCAGGAAATTGTATATGTCATTGGTGGTCTCTCACCTAGATTATGCTTCTATCATTTGGTCACCTTTCTATCAAATTCACAAATACACTTTAGAACGTACACAAAATAAATTCCTAAGATTCTGTGCTTTCAAGCTTAACGTTGTTATTGAAAATCATGATTATGCATTCATTCGTGGTGAAATGAATTTGCAGAGTTTGAAAAATCGTAGAAAAACCACTGATATTTGTTTCATTTTTATATTAGTTAATGGAATGGTTGTTTGTCCAAAGTTGTTGGAGTTGATCAATTTCAATGTTCCAAACAGAACATTAAGAAATGCTAACCTATTTAGAATGTCTCACCATGCTACTAATTATGGTCTACACTCACCTATTGAGAGAACATTGAGATTGATTAATGAAAATGGTTTGGACATATTTCATGGGTCTCTTGATAGTTTCAAAACACTGGTTAAATCTGTACTTTGAAACATGGAGCTCTTTTCATAAGTTAGATTTAGACTTAAGACTAGTAAGTATTAATAATATTTATCTTTCAAAATTTTTTTTTTATGTAATGGGGTTTCCCGTGAATAAATAAAATAAAAAAAAATAAAAATAAATATACTGGGTGACCAAATTTTAAGTCATTCGATCGCGCGGTTGATTTTTTACAAGGGGGGGGCATTTCAGCTGGGACACGGTGTATATCTCTGTTATTTTTTAATATATGAGATTTGTGGTTTTCACAAACGTTGGCTACTTTGTTATGAAACTCAGGGCAAAATTGAAAAGTAAAAACTGTTTTACATAGAATCCAATGGCGTAGTCATGTTTTTAAAATAAACTGCTGTAATTTAGATATAACCCGAGTTGTTTCTCTAAATGAAACACCCTTTATTTTATTTTCATATTCAAAACATTGATGGTATGTGCATTTCGAATATATATACAGTGTCCGGAAATTATGCACAAAAAATCATACATGATAAAATAAGAAATGCATTTTATATAAATATCAAAACAATTCAAGAGACCACAATGTTGTATTTTTAGTTGGTTAATAGGATATAAAGATATATAATACAAAATATCAGTGGTGCATATTTTATTGACGCCACTAGATTTCACAATTTTAATTCAATTATGGCTAAATCAGCCCCCATGACAAAGAACACTATTGCCAAATTTCAAGAGAATCGGTGGAAGGATATTTGAGATATTCATAAAAAACCGATTTCTTTTCAAGTTTAACTGCATTTCTGGACTAACATATACAGGGTAACTCACGGTCGATGGTACGTTAGACGTTTATGGCGAACATGACATAGGATCATTCTGAAATTTTGGTTACTCACGTAGTTGCTCTTGGTCTATCGATCTACAATATTTTCAGCTCTGCGGCGTTGCCGCTTCTATCGAAAAGTAGCAACAACTTTGTTATTTTGAATGGAGCACCCTGTATTTTATTACATTTTCAGATTCTCTCTGAAGAGCTGATTTCATCGATGTATCACACTTGGAGTCTAGCGGAAATGATTACAGAGATATAGGGTGTGAAAAATAGACATTTTTCAACTTTAGGAATTTTTTTTGTCGAAACTATTCATTATTGGTCAAAACGGCTCACATGTCCCTATCTCAACTTTTGATGAACTATCTACTGACATTTAATTGAAACAAATACAGGGTCGTGCAGAATTCAGAATCTTGATCACCCGGTATATGTCGCAATTAAATATCAGAAGATAGTTAATCAAAAGTTGAGATAGAGACATGTAATCCGTTTTGACCAATAATGAATAGTTTCGACAAAAAAAATTCCTAGTTGAAAAATGACAATTTTTCACACCCTATATCTCTGTAATCATTTCCGCTAGACCCCAAGTGTGATACATTGATGAAATCAGCTCTTCAGAGAGAATCTGAAAATGCAATGACATACAGGGTGTTCCATTTGAAATAACAAAGTTGTTGCTACTTTTCGATAGAAGCGGCAACGCCGCAGAGCTGAAAATATTTTAGATCCATAGACCAAGAGCAACTACGTGAGCAACCAAAATTTCAGAATGATCCTATGTCCCGTTTTCCATAAACGTCTAACGTACCATCGACCGTGAGTTACCCTGTATATGAAATAAATTTCATGTTTTCTCATGCAGAATCACCCCCTTGATTTTTTGCACATAATTACCGGACTCCCTGTGTATATAATACATATGACATTCTCAGTATTAACCTTGAATATAGAAAATTTACAATTTTTTAGTATATTTCTTATTATAAATATGTGGCAATATTTTCCATATCACAAATTTTCATGTTTTCCTTATTCTTGACACAGTGTTTCCTCACACACTAGTATCAATTTTACCAACATTCAATATTTACCAATGTTCACTATTTTTATTGACTATGAAAGCTGTGGACCTAATTAGAATTTGGCTATGAAAAAAAAGCAAGTGCAGAATGTTTTATAATTCATGTCACTGAACTAAATGACACCCTGCACCCTGTCCATGCAATGATCTCATATTTACCTGGTATTAAAGGCGATATAATATAAATGTATAATGTTAACAATATCACCTTGTGATTACAGGCCTAGAAGCCTAGAAGGAGAGAGAAAAATCTTGATTCATTCAATTGGTTTTTCATCTATAGCACATCCACATTGAAAAATAATAGCATAAAAATGTCAGCTCAGGGGTGCCAAGAAAAAATAACCAATTCCAATTTCGAATCAGAACAGTTCAAACTTTTCACAAGCAATTAGAGAAATTCTAGGGAAAGGCTAGGGGAAAGGTGAAACTCCATTTATCATGTGATGGGTTTTTTTGGAAAAATTTTTTTGGTACTTATGTATTTTTGTCTGAAAAACTTGAATTTGATAATGAAAATGTGAACAAACCACTATTTATTGAGATATTTCAAGAAAAAGTTAAAAATTTTGCCTTCTTTCTCCCCTTGTGTTGGATGCATTCACAGCTACTTGCTCTTCTTATTTTCTCATTGGACACTCATATACTCATGATTTACTTCAATGGCACATTTTTATATAGAAAATTCAACAGGAAATATGATTTTTATGATGAGTTTTTCATATTTAGTTGATTAAGATACCAGATGATGGCCATTTAATCAATAGTCAATCCAAATACTAGATGTCAAATGTCAATAGATTGCTTTGGAATGACATTACACAGGCCATCATTTTAAATGGTATTCTTTCCTTTTCACAAATATGAATAAATCTCAAGAAAATCATATTTCTAGTTCACTCATATAAAAAAAATGGCTCATACATTGTGATATATATAAATTATCCAATGATGAAAAAAGAAGGGCAAATTGTTTTAAATCATTCAGAAGACAGGTGAAAAATAAGGTGAAATTTGTAACTTTAATATATTGATAAATAATGGTTTGTTCACATTTTCATCATCAAATTCCTGTTTTTGCATTGCTTGATAAATGCAGTTTTACCATCCAGAATTTCTAGTTATGTGTATGTAAGGTGGTTATAAATTGATAGCCACCTTATGTGTATGTAAAACACACTTACCTATCAACATTTGATAATAAGGGTGAAACAAATTTGCTGTTGATATTCCTTCTGGACCCCAGTTTTCTCTTTTGGCCAACACTGCTTGATTGTAATTGTAAACTATTTTGCTGAGCCTGACAGCTTCCATATTTTTTAATGTTTTGTATTTGTAGCTCATCCCTGGCAGTCTTAAAACATGTAGAAAAGTTTTTGTTAGCTGCACTGTCCTCAGTTACTTTTTGGTTATGAAATTCCCTAGATGAACTTTGCCATTTTGATTCATTTTTTGAAGCATTATTTGATGGAGTCTGAAAAATAAAATTTTTGCATTCATAGTTTTCACAGAGTATATTTTTCTGTAACAATTACCACATTTCTTTTTGTCCTGAAAGCTTGGCAGAATTCTTGGAATTCAATGTTACCAAAGTCTTCTGAAGTGGTGCAGTTATTTTTGCCAGAACAAGGCAGTGGTTTCAATAAAGAATTTGGATTTATTTTACCTAAATTTGAATTCAGATTGATTGGATCTATTCTTGACTTCCCAATAAGGGATCTCAACTGAGACTCATATATATTTTCTCCATTTCCATTCACAGTGGCTGAGTATGTTTTCAGTCTTGATTCCAATAAATAACAGGTATTTGAATTGTCCAAACTAGAAAAGTTTATGTAATTATTTCAAATGTCCAACATATTATAAGGTATTTGAACTGTTTTCTTATTACATTGCAAATGAGGATTTCAAAGTTTGAGCCAAACATTTCCTTTGGATTTCAGCACTTTCAATAGGATCATCTGCATTATCTTGAAACAACACTTGGTGGTAAGCAGCTAAATTGAAATCTTCGAAGGAATTCATTTTTCTCAGTTTGTTTCCATATAACGATTCCAACTCTTTTATTCGTCTGAGAATTTAGAGATATAATAAATAAAAAAAATTTTAAATTCAGAGATTAAAAATTTCAAACATAACCAACAAAAAATTATGTCATCCGTCATAGCACAAAACAAAACCACAGAATTCACAAAACACAAAAGTGACGAGTGCTTGTAGACAGCTTCCTCACATTACATCCAATATTTTGGCTTCCAACATATACGGAGGGTAAACGTCAGTAAACGTATCGTTCATTCCTTTGTCCTTTCTGCATAACAACGGACACTACTTTTTTTAAATCAATTCAACTCGGCCTATACACAGATTAACAAAAGGTTTGTTAATCTGTGGCCTATATCACCTGAATGAACCTTCTTCCTAGAAGATTTTTTTTTTCGTACTACTTGAGACTTGAGAGAACAAAAGAGACTACTTGTTTTAAGGAATCTAACCTTACTGGGTCTAAACGTTGATTGATATATTACGCTTACGCTGGGTAAGCGTAATATATCAATCAACGGTCTAAATCAACCTTCTTAGTAGAACATATATTCGGGAAATTTCTTGAGTGAACAAAATGTTTTGTTAAAAAACAATTGTCCCTCGCAGTGATTGAACCCTGGGGTCCCTGGGTTGCAGGCGTGGCATTGAAATTCAATGAGTATATACACATATAATGGGAGCTATCTAAACAATCCTCCACCCCATGTATTTTGGAGTCGACTGATGTAAGCCAGAGGGGTAAATGTGTTCCATCTGAACCAGTCTTCTTTCAAACAGAATAATCGCTTGAAAATACTTACTTAGATTAGGTACTTCTCGTATGTACTGCTACCAATTCTAATGGTACTTTTGAAGCAGAATGTTGAAATTAAGTTGATTTGAAAAGATAATAATTATAAACAGATGCTAGTGCGTAAGATATTCCTTGATGTTTGTCAGTCTCAGAATAGTGTCAAATGGTAACTGTACGCCCGTTACTAGGACAAAATTATTTCTTTTCCAATAGGCGGTGATTACTTATGAATTTTGCTAGTTATTTACATGAAAATGAAATCAAACAGCGTAAAGACTATTCGCAGAGTTGGTATTGAACGATATTCGTAAATTTTTCTTGAGTAAACTCTTAGTTTTATTATTTTATTACTACCCAAATTGACATTTTTTCAACTTTCTGTTTATGAGTTGAAATAGTTTTGAGACTGACGAACAGAAAATATCTGACGCACTATAGCATTCATTTATAATTTTTATCGTTTCAAATCAACATAACACATAAACATAAAACATAATTTCAATTTCAACATTCTGCTTCAAAATTTCAACCCTTAAAATTGGTAGCAGTAAATACAAGAAGTACCTAGTCTGAGACAACTTTTTCGAGCGATTATTCAACTAGTAGATACAAAAAATAATAATCACAATTTAAATAATCTTCAAATTGACATATTTTCAACTCTATGTGAATAAGTGTTATGATGAGAATTGTTGGCGGGAATACAAAGAGTATCAAACTCCATTAAGTTTTTCCTCCTCTACCCGATTTCTCTGATGAACTTTGTTAGTTATTAAATACAGTGTTTTTTTATATTTCGAATGATTGTGAATTTTTCCTGAAGCCGAACCTGGATTTCCATTCCGTCCAAAGTATAAGCTCCATACCAAATTTGAGGAATATATACTGGGTAGTTTAATACTTATGGACGAGTGAATAATTATTCCAAATCGATAAATCACCCTGTATCTCCATGATAGGGACTATAAGACTCATCAAATATGGCATTCAGATCCACATTGGCGACCTCTATTTAGTTATGAGCATCTCACCATTGACCATCTGCGGCTGACGTCAAAACGTTGAAGGTCGAACGCTTGGAGGGAAAACAAACCGTGTGGAGGCATTCTGTTCATAAGTTTATAATTATTTTTGCTTAGTGTTTGTTATTTGTATTGTGATAGTCGTGTTGAAGTTCTACTACAGATATAATTTATACATATTGAATTTGATGTATTTATCTGTGATCCAAATCTGCTGATTTTAAAGGGCCTATATCATTTACATCTACAGATTCTAACCGGATAATATGCCGAATTTTTGTATGGTAATGAATTGCGGCAGTACTGAAATGAGAGACAGTGTCAGATTCTTTAGGATTCCCTCAGTTCTAGACAATAACAGAAGAGAAAACAGCCTAGCCAATTGGGTGGAGAGCACTACCCCTTTTTTTTTAGAATCTTTTATTGTTTGCAAAACTTGTACAATCCCTTGTTGGTTTAATCTAGCATCTTCTTTATGTGCTTCCAATTGTGATTTGCTTGAACATGGTTTTGTGAAATCAATGTCAAAAACTTTGCTGGGCGCATAAGGTTTACTACTTGGAGCTAATAAGCTTTCACATCTGTAACAGATTTTTATTCCACAGATGATGTTGGACGAACCAAATTATCAATGGAGGCATTTTTGATTTAGTTTCTGTGAATGCAGAACCTACAAAAATAATAATTACACAGTTAATATGAAAAATAAATAATTGTGTGTTAACTTTCCCTTTCCCAAACCAAGATGCTTTCAGTTGCTCCATACTGAATGCACTTCTTGCAAATACTAGATAATTTACAATAACTGGATACAAAACTGGTGGCAAATCATCAATTTTCGTGGAATAATTGTTTATGCAATATGAATACTCATATCCTATGCATGCAATTTTTTCCGTATATCTTTTAGTATTTATTTTGTCCAAGCTTTTATATTGCTCACTTAATGTACTCATCTTAATCCTTCCATAAAACAGTAACAGCACTTCGAAACGCTTTCAAGACACAAGATTAGACTTCCTCACACTTAAACACAATTTCAATGAGAATGTAATGAGGCCAAATTTTTTGTTTACCCTCCAGACGAGATGGACACGCCCACTTGGTAACGTGCCACAGCAGATGGTCAATTGAAATATTTCGCGGTCAATTGAAATATTTCCCGGTGAATTGAAATATTTCCCTTTACCTGTAAAATACCCCGTATATCATCGGTGTTCCTGCAAATTGCACTATGCCGTATGACAGGAAACAAAAACAGCGTACATACAAAGCACTGAAACAAAACACTGAAATCGGAGATATCATATTATTAAAAAACACAGAGGAATTATATTAGATACCTACCTATATCTTAATTTATTTCCTCTTTTATAAATAATCACAAATAACAGAAAAATCTGATTAACAACAAAAGAATTCATCTATGCAACAATATCTTTTAACTTTGCTTCTAAATACTGCACCCGATGTATCAACTTATCTCTGGGTTTGAATTCGGTGTATGGAATTGTCACTATCCTGTAGCCCTGAGCTTGGAGCAAGTTAGCGGCAAATGCGTTGACCCCCGTCGGTTCGGCTCTACCTCGGCACATGTCATGGTAATCATATACCATAATTGCTACCCTGTAAAAAAAATGAAAATGTTGACCTGATACGACCCATAGAAATCTATAGTAACCTAACCTAACCTAACCTGACCTGATACGACCCATGGGTTGCGTGCAAGAACTGTCAGATGACCGACGCTGGAGGCAAAACATTGAGACACAACGTCACTTTTCTTATTTGTTTACAAGTGATCGAAATAGTTTTCCACGATTATTTTGGCATATGAATCGTATTTTTCCGCTATTCATCAATTCGCTCATGCCATCACATTGTGCTGTTGTAAAATGCACAAAAACTGCAGCGGAAGATGAAGGAATCCGGATGGTACATTATGATTTAAAACTAAGTACCTACTATAGTCACTCACATATAGTTTTCATTTCTGAAATTTGGTTATTTCTCTGATTTCTCATCGGAATTCCTTCTGCAATAAGAGCTAATAGTACTATACCTGAAATTTCTAGAAAAATGCAAGAAGATTGGATTCATGCAATCAACCGGGAGGACTGGTCTGACATGCTGAGGATCGTGTGTGTTGTAGACATTTTCAATCTATTAGCAGTATTAGCTTGTATTGCAGAAGTGGCAGAAGGCAGAAGAAATATTAATAAGGAATGACAACATTTCATAATGATAACTATGTGAGATTACTATTTACCTGAAAAATCATATTCTTTAGTCTCTTGCTGCATTTTTTGTGCAATGTACAACAGCACAATGCGAAGGCATGCTCGAATTAATGAATAGCGCAAAAAACACGATTCGTATGCCAAAATATTGTGAAAAACTATTTCAACCTTTTGATTCCTCTGTAAACAAATGAAAAAGTGAGGTTGTGTTTCAATATTTTGCCTCCAGGGTCGGTCATCGTGCACGCGACCTATAGAAATCTATAGTAATGGGTTAGCAGACCCATTTTAATACAGGGATGTTCAAAAACAGTTGACAGTTCTAGGATAGGCTGCAAAATAAGTCGGGTTTGCTCAAGTGAAAAAGTATCGTAACGTATGAAGAAGTCAACGTGACAACGTTGCATCCCGGAAGGTACGACAAGTAGTGCTCCAGCACTCGCTCCACGATGATGCAGGAACAAAGTCACGAGTAGAGTCCCTGTATGTACCTTAGACAAGAGTACGGACACAAAACTGACAGAAATTTGGTTTCATTTGGTTTGCCCACCTGACAATGTGACGAAACACCATAGTCGTCCCGCCCGTTTTTTTTAATTATTTCGAATTTCTGTCACTGTCACTCCGAAATTTATGACTGCCAAAATTTAGCAATTTAAATTATTTCAATGTCCTGCTGCGTACATTATTACGATAATTCATTGGAAAAGGGATATGCCAGTTATTCAATTTTTCGAATGATCCTTTAAAGATAATATGTCATGGGAGAATGCAATGAAACATCCAGAATGGAAAATTAATTTCAAGAAATCCCCAAAATGTGAGGTAAATATTCAAATTTACTTGTAAAAACAGTTCAAAGAAGATGAATTTTAGGCCCATTTTGATAGAGATTCTTTCGAGCTGATGGATTTCAAATTGAAAGAGTCTGCTGTGCCGTCAATTTATAAAATACAGACGTTCAAAAAAAGAGTTTTTTTGTCATCGTATTGGGAATTACTTAATGCATCGCATCGATCGCATAAAAAGAAAATGAGAATGAAATGATGCGGAAGAAATTGAAAGTTTGAAATCAAAACTAGAAGATTTAGAGAAATTGCATTGTGCCCAATGTTAGATAAATATAAAAATCAATGTATTATGATGCATATAGATAATAGGTATATATAATTGTTGTTTTGATTTTGTCACATTTATTTCTGCTGAGTGTTATCAAATTGAGAGAATCGGAGAAAATTATATTGAAACAATTATGTATCTTCTATTTTTTTATGTCCCAACAGAACACAACTATATTTGCTTGGCTATGTGATACCACGTAGAACACTTGAATTATCTTTCTTATATCTAATGAAATGAAGAAATATATGATGACGAGAACTTGCAATAGCCATCTCAGGAATTGATTATGAAAATTATCGATTCGAAATTTGGATACCCTGTTGTTCATTATTTGAAAATCAAATAGTTATTCTAGTTAAAATTGCCCTATTTCTCACTTCTACCTACGGCTATGAACGGTTTGACAAATAATCTAACCCTCAAAATTGTTTCTGACAATCATTGATACTAGGGGAATTGAAAAGACAGAGCTCGATATATATGTCTTATTCCTTTATTCAATCATCAATGCATTTTTCGAAAACAGAAAAGGACAGAAATATAGCTGTGTCCGGACTCTTGTCTAAGTTATATACAGGGACTCTAGTCACGAGTACTTCAGTTCGTCGTTAGATGCTCGCGGAGGTCGCGCCCTCGAAGTTGAGAGAATATTTTTCAATTATACACTGATTAAAATCATCATTTTCTGTGAAATGCAGAAAAAATTCATGAATTACATTTGAAACCAAGCAATAATGATTCAAGATACTCTACTGAAGAGTTCAAACTCGAAAAATATAATTACTACTAAACTTTCGATAAAATTTATGGAAGATTGAATGTAAACAAACATTCAATTGCATTCAACGTACTCTCCATTGGTTACTTGAATATCCGCAAGAGGGCGTATCGCTTATTTTGAATCGCCTATAATCACACTAGTGCGGCAAGGACTAGAACGAACGAGATTAATAGTAATAAGTGAAAAACAATCCGCGATATTATAGTGTTCTGACTACCCAACATCGGCATTCCAAGTCTGTTCAAAAAGGGGCGAACAAGGTCACGAGAACTTTAGTTCGTCTTAGATGCTCGAGGATGTCGCGCCTCATTTTCTTAATTTTTATTTTTTCGTATATTTCCATATTGTCTATGAATATCGTTCTGAAACTTTCTAGGCTCACTAAAAGGACTATTATGCATAAGAAAAATTTCATTCCATTTTGATTCACACACTGCATGTTGCATTTTCGGAGTACTGCTGATCGAAAAATTGATAGAACTTTGTCTGAGTGCGCCACTGAACAGTTCTCAATGTTTTTTATTTTCTCATTCAATACCACACTTTCTGCCCTCCTGAATGTTTGTGATATTTCTATTGGTTTGCAAGTTAATTGACGAAATTCAATTTGATGCAAATATTTAATAGGCGAGAACACAATAGCACGAATTCAGTTCAAATGTGCATAATAAATAAATATAACATTGAAATAATGTGTACCAGTAGTTTTTTCAACAATAAATGCTGTCATTATCCAAAGAACGCGTTTGCAAAACCATACAAATTTGTGGACCATTCAAAAAACCAATAATGGCGGATACGTGATGACGTAACAAGTATTGGCGTGCATTTGGCAACGCTGTACTGTACCTTCAAAATAATATTCTACATATTTCCTAACCTAAGAAACCGAACTCCTAAACATCAAAACATCAGAGTTTTTCTTTGATTTTTCATTTGCTTAATATTTTCTTGTGTAATCAAAATATTCAAATCATTGTGACTATTATTGTGACATAGTCTGATGGTTCATGTTTATTGATTGGAGATATGAAGCCAGTATTCGAAAAAGCAATCACAATCTTCCAGTAGTTGATTCAACTATGGTTTTTGAATTCTGCAAGTTAAAAAAAACTGGCATGAGCTGTTTCATAAAGGTGAAGATTAGTCCAGAACATAAAGTTCGTCCTAAACCATAAAGGGTTGAGGCTGAGGTTCATGAAGCTGAAGAAACTGTAGTCTGGATTGTGCAGTTTCAAAAGGTAAAAGGTACATAAATTCTTGACTTTTTTATAAACTATATTCTTTTATATTCTTAGGTAGATGTAAACACAGTGTGGCTTTCTTATTATGGTTACATGGAAGATCAGAAGAACCCTCTGTACCTTCTATGGAGTGTTACTGAAAAGTGTCCAACTCAGTGTCCAAACTACCAAATTTTTGAGCTTCCTATCAACATTCATGCCACTTGTAGAATTAGCACCAAAACAAGTTCCTACCCTCCCAGTGGTTCCATCAAAATTTCTTGAAGTAGTTTTTCAAGTAGATGGAAAACATGGATGCCAAGGATAACTGTTTTTGAAAGAGTTTGATTCTGATTCATAAGCTAATTATTTTGTCCAGAAAACATTCATCCAATTTGTCTCCTAGGGGATTCCAAGACTTCATTCATCAGAATATCAGTGACAGTGATTGTGAATTGGTGCAAGATATAAAAGTGAATCAAAACGAATCATCATTATCAGCATGGTTTGAAGTTTGCTATGGAAGAATTACTGCTTCAAAGTGCACAAAGTGCAAGACATTCGAAGGTACATTATATGAGCAGGAGAATTTTGAGAATAATGGTAGTTTTCAGTTACTTGAAGTGTGATATGACCCTATATTCCTTTAGAAAATTATAAAAGATGCTGAAAATTTGTGGCAAACTGTTAATTCCACCCATTTAATAAAATTATAAAATAACAGTACTACAGTAGTTTTTTTCTTCTCTTATTTCAAAATTGGACTTATTTAGAGCTCACCAGTGTCTTATAAATAACATATTTCATCATACACAACTTCGAAATCCCTTCTCATATTGATCATACACTATATCTTCACAAACTGGAGATGGTAGGTATATGAAATTCATGTTTACTTCTTGTCGAACAACCTAGTTCATTCATATTTTATTGTCAGTGGAATATTGGTAAGAAAGATGAATACCTATCATAACACCAAAAAAGTAATGAAAGTAGTAAGAAAAAAATCCAGTAAGTATAAACCAAGAGAGCACTGGCATATCTAGAAATGATGGAAGATGCAACATCAATTCTCAATGCAAAAAAACAAAATCATACAAGCCAAAATTACTAGATAGGTATTGCCACTATTTCATGTAGGGAAAATTTGTCAAAAATGTAAAGGAATAGGTCTCGGAATATGTAGTACACAAAAATTATCAAAATGAAGCAAGAATGCTCAAGAATGTTGGTTGAAATTTTCATTTATTGTCCACTTTATGCAGTAGATATAATTAGAACAGTTAAATATTAATAGATATATTTCATTTCTAGAATGAATATAGATGTAGAACATGGAAATATTATATCAATATCTTGTCCAGATCATCCAGTTTTCAAGAAAACAAATAAACTTAATCATGATGGTAAAAATCACAAACATATTTGTATATCAATCAGCAACAGTCCTGAGTCATTTTATCACAATATGTTATGGGACTGTCAATTTGGTTCTGGTTCATAGTATTTGATGTCAGTCTCTTCCATGACAGGTTACTTTTCAGGTTCTTCAAGAAAACTTTCTTCAACTGAAACACTCACTGGTACTTCCAAGAATTTTCCTCAAGGAGAGTCAATATGATTTGAGGAAAGTTCCATTTTATCTCATCTCCCAAATTCTCAAGGGATTATTGAGATCTCCTTTTCCGTGCTGAAGATGAAAGTTAGGATTTTGATGGGTCTTTTCTCAGTATTGGACGTTTAATGAATATGGAATCACATCTTCAGGCATATAAACTCTAGATCCAATGAGTTTTAATTCCACCCAGTTCAACATGTCATATTCAAGCTAGAACAAAATGAGTATGATCAATCCATATTGAAGAAAAAATTCTACTCACATCAAAACGATCCTCACAGCAAAATATATCATTTGATTCCAGGTATGGTTTATCCATATACTTTGTTCAGTGTTGATTAAGCAGGATGGAACCAAGTTTGTGGCATTTCCTTACAGCCACTGCCATCCCAGGAATGTGAATAAACGTTGATGAGAAAAAATAAATAATTCGATGGCACGAATAAAAATAATATTGGCCGACAAAAATAAATAAACAATAAAATAAAATAACAACTGACAGTAGTGACAGATGAACGAATTGTCAACTGTCCACACAGTCAACAGTCCAGAAGATATCAAGCGACGTTGCCGGATCACCGTCTAATACTTGTCACGTCACATTAACGCGCGATATTCCAGCTCGTTTGAACGGGATCAATACTTTGCAAATTTTTTGTGGAAAAACTACTTCGAATAAAAATCTGAAAAAAATACCTGAGACTTTTATCGTCATACTAAAGGCCATGGTATTTTTTCCAGAAATTCGTGTTCTCGCCTATTATTGTAGGTTCATACCTAATTTTCATATGAAATCATCCATCATATCAGTGATATTCAATATGTGGCACATATTTCTCCACGAATTCAAGACAGGGTGTTGCATAACAGAAAAAAATAAAAAATCAATTCCGACGCCCTGTAGCGGCTGGTCGGAGCGTTTTGGTGTGGATGTGGGTTTGGTTCGGTCATCGCACTTTAATCTCGAGAGTCTGTGGTATCATTTTGTGCAGACCTTTCGGAGACATCCTGTACAATGACTTGACTCATTTGTATTCTCAATACATTCAAAAGACCAATGAACTATATATCTATCTATCTATATCAAAGTAGGCCACGCACGACAGTAAAGGCATCCGTTTTCCAAAATACAAGATGTTTAATAATTTTCAACACATTTTTGACGATTATGTCGAAACTACTAGCAACATTGTGATGAAATTTCGTATGGATAGGTTCTGGCAGCTGACACATCCCATGAATTCATTTTCATATCTGACTCTTATAGCGGGCGCTAGTTCCACGGTTCGTCCCGAGTAATTTTGAACATAACTTTTTGGAGGTTCGATTTTTCGATATAAATTTGATATGAACTCGTGCATCATTCGAATTAATACCAAAAAGGTACTCTTGGTAAAACTTGATATTGTCTACCGTTTGCGGAATATTTCGATTTAAAAATGATGAAGGATAACTGGTAGACAGTATCGTTTCAACAAGAGTACCTTTTTGGTATTAAATCGAATGATATACGAGTTAACATGAAATTTGGACTGAAAAATTTAACCTCAAAGAAGTTATGTTTAAAATTACTCGGTACGAACAAAATTTCATCACAATGTTGCCAGTAGATTCGACATAACCGTACAAAATGTGTAAAAAACTATCTTTTTCAACACCTTGTACCTTGAAAACGGATAACGTTACGACACTTTCACTGAGCAAAGCCAACTTATTTTGCAGTGTTCTACCTACCCTAGCAAAATGGTCGCCTTTTATGTATTTATATTATGACTAGCTGACCCGGCAAACGTTGTTTTGCCATAACATTATTTCTAGAAAAAATGTTTTTACATAAATATTTATCAATATTTTATTTATACTTCTTTTTAGTTCGGCTATCCACGAAAACGGGATTCTTTAGTTTTTCAAACTATTCTACTCATCTTCTACTTCTTTTTAGTTCGGCACTCTATATCTCTTCATATTTTCATTTATTTACTACTCACTTCTTTTTAGTTTGGCTATAAACATATATGTTTCTAGGGAATAATAAAGATTATTATTATTATCTATAAAAACGTGTTTCATTAGTTTTTCAAACTACAATTCATTATGATAGCTGATGCTGATACCTGGCACACGTTGTTTTGCTATATAGAATCTCTTCTAGAAAATATTATTTTTCAGTTAAATATTCATCAACACACTTTTATTATTTTGTTTTGAACTTCAATTTCCTACTTCTATTCAGTTCGGCCCCGAATTTGGCTATCTATGAAAGCGTGTTTCATTAAAGTATTTCAAACTACTATTTATTACAAAGCTCTCACCATATTGGATCCGCCATCTTGAATTTCCAAATTTTAAAGAATTAAATAATAATCTCCGACCCCGAAAACCCCCAGATACAGATTTTGAATAGAATCGAATCATAATTACAAAACTCGTCCGCCATTTGGATCCTCCATCTTCAATTTCCTAATTTTGGTGAAAGAATCATAATCTCCGATCCGAAAATCACTCAGATACAAATTTTGAATGGAATCAGATCATAGTTATAAAACTCGTCCGCCATATTGCATCCGCCATCTTGAATTTCCAAATATTGACAAAAGAATCATTATCTCCGACCCAGAAAACCACCCGATACCAATTTTGAATAGAATCTGAACATAATTACAAAACTCGTCCGCCATATTGGATCCGTCATTTTGAATTTCCCCGTTTTGACAAATGATTCATATTTCCGACCTTTAAAACCTCCAGATACCAATTTTGAATAGAATCTGACCATAATTACAAAACTCGTCCGCCATATTGGATCCGCCATTTTGAATTCCCAAATTTTGAGGAACGAACCATAATCTCCGACCCCGAAAACCCTAAGAACCAATTTTGAATAGAATGGGCGTGTACACCTTGGTAGAACTTTCAACTCAAACCATGTTTATAATGATCCTTTCATACATAAATAATGATTGACGACATAATTCGATCGAAAATTTTACTGGAATGTTCAATTTTTCGACATAAATATTAGTACCATCTGAAAACGGACCCCTCTTATGATGTGGAAACCTCATCTCGCCATACTTAAAAGAAAATACCAAACGCCGGACGGAGACTGAGGCAACTGATATATTAATTCTTTCAACTGTGATCTCGCCCTAATTCACTCTGCCAGAAATCATGTATCATTCATCTCTGTCTGGAATAGTCCTGTTTCAGTATTAGGGTTTTGACGTCACATAATCGCCTCGTTTTCAGAGGTCCGAAAAATCGGGGATTTCAATAATTTTTTATAAAACGTAGGGAGCTCACAGCGATAAACGTTTGCGGTGGTGAGCTAGTTTTGGTGAGTTCTATCGAATTATGGAATAAAAAAGTTTTGTGATATAAGCCCATTGGTTCATAATTACAAAACTTGTCCGCCATATTGGATCCGCCATTTTGAATTTCCTTATTTTGATGAAAAATCATAATCTCTGACCTCGAAAACTCCCAGATACCAATTTTGAATGGAATCTGACCATAATTACAAAACTCGTCCGCCATATTGGATCCGCCATATTGAATCTCCAAAATGTGACCGGGACAGGAAAATTTCATATATTAGATTTTTAAGGAATAAAAATGAGAAAAGCCAAACAACTCCAGAAGATGCTAACATTGTAAGCGAAATACGTATCGAGGCGTTGAACAATCGACTTGGTTAGTGGTAAGCAAGTGTAGTGCGTAAACGAAATATGTTTGTATAGTCGATTTTGTTCGATCCAGATAAGAAAAGAATGCTTTATAAACTATTTCAAGATCTTACCTTCTTGCGTCCGTGTTCAATTCAATTTGTTCTAAGGGGAGGGGACTGCACTTCTTGTCTAGTAAACATTCGGCATCTGCATAAAATTGAAATCACTTGAAATATATTGCAACATTCGTAAAATTGAAAGGTCATAATAGTAAATCAGATAGTTCATAAAATTAAATTGATTAAATCAATCTGATTTTTCTGTGACGGGAAAAAAAATTTATTTTTTCTGTGACGGGAAAAAAGTTTGGCATTTCATCTCTGTTGGCAGGTTATAAAATGTCACTTTTCATAAATTACTTTTTTCCCGTGGGAAAAAAGTGAGTACTTTTTTCCCGGATATATATCACATATATATACTCTGTTAATGGCTTTTGTTGTGCTATAGTTCCAAAAAATGAGTCAATAATACCGTCTCCGAGAAAGAACTGCAAGTCCTTTTATCTTCCATTCGACTTCGCGGTTTCGTATATTACTAAACAACTACTGAATTCGCAATTTTTCAAAATCAAATCACAGAATTGAACTGACAGAAGTGACATCAGATATTTGATTACTTCAAAAGAATGATAAAGATGCCTATAAAACGCAGGTGTCCCTACTGTTGAAAACTTGAAATTTCACGTCGATAATTTTCAGATTTCGAAATAATGTAATATCTTCTCAATATTGATTCGTCCTTCCTTCTGTCACAGAAAAAAATAGTGTATTATACACGGGAAAAATATTAGATTTTAGCTCACGGTTTTTTGTCTCCCTCCGCTACGCGTCGGGAGACAACACAACCTGGAGCTAAAATCTACTACTTTTTTCCCTTGTATAATAAATAACTAATTTAATCTCTGTTGACAGGTTACAAAATGTCACTTTTCATTAATTACTTTTTTGCCAGTTCCGGAATATAACCCAATAACACCGTATCCGTGAAAGAACTGATAGTCCTTTTTATCTTCTATTCACATATTCAATTACTTCAAAAAGTTTCCATAGCAACAATAAAGATGCCTACAAAAAGATGCCTGCAAACAAAGGTGTACTACCAATTAAAAACTTCAAATTTCACATGGATAATTTTCTGATTTCATTATAATGTAATATCTTCTCAATATTGAATCATTGTTCAACCAGTTCATTCATTTACATGTCAATTTGAAAATGATGAACTGATAACTGGTAGTCCTGCTTATGAAGAAATGAAGCTAATTTTTCAGTTGATGAACCGAAATGGGTTAAAGTTCTATAATTGTATTTTTTTTTTTGATGGTAGGATAAACTTCTTGAATTTCTTTATTACGGAGTTTTTTAGAAAGAATTCTGTCTATCAAATTAGCGTTGTATCCGTTGTTGACTGCAATCTGTTTTATGATATTGAGTTCTTTATTGAAATTCACTTCTGAAAGAGGGACATTCACTAGCCTGTGTATTTTCTTTCATCTCTTGAAGCGCACGAAAGGATTTTCCTATAATGTTCGTGGAACATCGTGCGTACCTAGGGGGGATAGGGAGAGAGGTAGGTATTAGAATTTACTATTATATGCTGCAATTTTTTGTTGACAAGGATGCGTTGAATTATTATGAATAGTGATATCAGTGTGGAAAAGTTTATCGGAAATAGAATGATTCATAATAATTCAACACACCCTTATCAACATAAAATTGCGGCACATTGTTTGATACACAGGCTGGTGAATGCCCCCTTTTCAGAAGGATGCAGGATGCATCAGATCAGAAATTATTTATTTGCAAATGAACCTCGAGACTAATCAAAAATTTACACGATACAAAAAATATTTCTGAAGGGAATATCTTCCTGAAAAATAAAACTGGAAGTTTCCAGTCTGACCTCTGGAAAGTTATCACCAAATTTGTACGGCAACATGGTTGTTTGAAACACTTGCAGGTCACTGATGATGATCAAAAACATCCCAAAACGTGACTTACAGTCACAGAACATGCCATGCCAAAAATTATGAAAATCGATCTCAGCCTACTCTTTTTATGAGCAAAACTATTGTTTTCTTTCAAAAAAACTTCAACGCCTTGTACCAAATCAATGAGACGATTTTGGATATAGGTAAGTTGGCCTTAATCAACTTGTTTTTATCCCAGGAGTCCACAGCCGAGCCAAGTCCCAACCTTTTACAGACACCCTGTATATAATTTTACTTAATAACTTTTTTAATGTTACCAATAATTGTGACATTGAGTTATATATTTTTTTTTCGAAACAAGTAACTTTTTACTTATCGAGTATCGATAATTTTTTGTAATTTTTTTATGTCAACTGTGATATCATTTTTTTTTAATAAATGATATTGTTATTAAAAATTCACTCACCAATGAAAAATCCTAGCCCGGTATCGACCCGCGTCCTCACCAGCTTCTCCGATTGTATCAGATTCCTGAGGGTGTCCAGAACGGCGGCGACGATCTCCTCCTTCTCCTTGGTGGGCGCGTACTTTGCCTCCCTGATGCGGGAGTCAAGCGGGAGGCGCGGCCCCGTGTAGCCCTCTTGCAGATAACTTGCCGCCCCCTCGATATTCAGCAGCTTCAGTCTCGCGGACATTGCCGTATAACCTGCAAAGAAGGTATTTCAATGAAGGTAGCGACTCAACCAAATTTATTATTACGAGAACGAATGCACTTAGAAAGTACAAGGTCGATTCACATTAGGACAGCAAACATTTCGGTATATGAGCTATAAATATCATATCAAATAAGGCTAAGCAAATGCCAGATGATTAATTAAAAAACATTGATTAGTTTAAAATCATTCCAAACATCGACATCCAATTCATGGAAGTAAGCTCCGTAGCCTTGCAGATAACTTGCCGCTCCCTCGATGTTCAATAACTTCAATCTCAAGGCCATTGCCGGATAACCTGCAAAGAAGGTATTTCAATGAAGGTAGCGACTCAACCAAGTTTATTATTACGAGAACGAATGCACTTTGAAAGTACAAGGTCGATTCACATTAGCACAGCAAACATTTCGGTATATGAGCCATAAATATCATATCAAATAAGGCTAAGCAAATGCCAGATGATTAATTAAAAACATTGATTAGTTTAAAATCATTCCAAACATCGACATCCAATTCATGGAAGTAAGCTCCGTAGCCTTGCAGATAACTTGCCGCTCCCTCGATGTTCAACAACTTCAATCTCAAGGCCATTGCCGGATAACCTGCAAAGAAGGTATTTTTATGGAGAGGGACTCAAAAAAATTTATTATTACGAGAACGAATGCACTTAGAAAGTAGAAGGTCGATTCAAATTAGGACAGCAAACATTTCCGTATATGAGCTAGAAATATATCAGATAAGACTAAGAAAATTCCAGATGATTAATAAAAAAAAATTGATTAGTTCAAAATCATTCCAAACATCGACATCCATTTCATGTGAGTAAACTCCATAGCCTTCTTGCAGATAACTTGCCGCCCCCTCGATATTCAGCAGCTTCAGTCTCGCGGACATCGCCGTATAACCTGCAAAGAAGGTATTTCAATGAAGGTAGCGACTCAACCAAATTTATTATTACGAGAACGAATTCACTTAGAAAGTACAAGGTCGATTCACATTCGACAGCAAACATTTCGGTATATGAGCTAGAAATATCATATCAAATAAGGCTAAGCAAATTCCAGTTAATTAAAAAACATTGATTAGTTTAAAATCATTCCAAACATCGACATCCAATTCATGGAAGTAAGCTTTGTAGCCTTGCAGATAACTTGCCGCTCCCTCGATGTTCAACAGCTTTAATCTCAAGGACATCGCCGGATGGCCTGCAAAGAAGATCTTTTAATGAACGTAGGGACTCAACCAAATTTATTACTACGAGAACGAATGCACTTAGAAAGTAGGTCAATTCACATTAGGACAGCAAAAATTTCGGTATATGAGCTGGAAATATCATATCAAATGAGGCTAAGTAAATGACAGATGATTCATTATAAAAAATTATTAGTTTAAAATCATTCCAACCATTGAAATCCATTTTATGTAAGTAAACTCCGTAGCATTGTTGTAGATAACTTGCCGCTCCCTCGATGTTCAACAGCTTTAATCTCAAGGACATCGCCGGATGGCCTGCAAAGAAGATCTTTTAATGAACGTAGGGGCTCAACCAAATTTATTACTACGAGAACGAATGCACTTAGAAAGTAGGTCAATTCACATTAGGACAGCAAAAATTTCGGTATATGAGCTGGAAATATCATATCAAATGAGGCTAAGTAAATGACAGATGATTAGTAGAAAAACATTGATTAGTTTAAAATCATTCCAAACATCGACATCCATTTCATGTGAGTAAACTCCATAGCCTTCTTGCAGATAACTTGCCGCCCCCTCGATATTCAGCAGCTTCAGTCTCGCGGACATCGCCGTATAACCTGCAAAGAAGGTATAACCTGCAAAGAAGGTATTTTAATGAAGGTAGGGACTCAACTAAATTTATTATTACGAATGCACTCAGAAAGTACAAGATCGATTAAAATCAGGACAGCAAATTTTCGGTATATGAGCTGGAAATATCATATCAAATGAGGCTAAGCAAATGCCAGATGATGAATTAAAAAAAAAAATGATTAGTTCAAAATCATTCCAAACATCGACATCCATTTCATGTAAGTAAACTCCGTAGCATTCTTGCAGATAGCTTGCCGCTCCCTCGATGTTCAGCAGCTTCAGTCTCGAGGACATCGCTGGATGACCTGCAAAGGTTTTTTAATGAACGTAGGGACTCAACTAAATTTATTATTACGAGAACGAATGCACTTAGAAAGTACAAGGTCGATTCAAATCAGGACAGCAAACATTTCGGTATATGAGCTGGAAATATCATATCAAATGAGGCTATAAGCAAATGCCAGATGATGAATTAAAAAAAAATTGATTAGTTCAAAATCATTCCAAACATCGACATCCATTTCATGTAAGTAAACTCCGTAGCATTCTTGCAGATAGCTTGCAGCTCCCTCGATGTTCAGCGGCTTCAGTCTCGAGGACATCGCTGGATGACCTGACCTGCAAAGGTTTTTTAATGAACGTAGGGACTCAACCAAATTTATTAATACGAGAGCGAATGCACTTAAATCAAATCAAATCAAAATATACTTTATTGTCTGAAGAATAAAATTCTCATCGACAAAGTCGAACATGCTTATATATATACATATAAAGAAATAAAGTAGAGTATAAAAATGAAACCCTACATTGTATAAATAGAACTAACACAATATAGTGAACAATATAAAACACATTAAAATTACAGAAACTGTTGGAACCAAAGAATATAGTTAAAAGTTTTAAATCGAAAAACAACAGGATATCAGCAATGTGAATAATTTTAGGAATTTTTCTGAAAAGAATTCGTCTAAGGAGTAGCAAGCTTTTTCAATTAGAAGAATTTTGACCAATTTTTTAAACATTTTTGGGTTATTGATACATTTTACCTCATCAGGCAAATGGTTATACAATTTTCTGCTATTGTAAATGAAAGAGTTTATTATTAATGTAGAGCTAGGTATTGGTATATTTAAATTATGTGCCCCTCTTGTATTATAGTGTGTAGTAATATGATTTTCGTTTTTATATTTTCGGTGTATGAGACATACCGTTTCCAGAATGAAAATACATGGAAGAGGTAATATTTTGTGCTCTATGAATAATGACTTGCAAGTATCCCTGAATCCAGCTCTACACATGCATCTCACGGCTCTTTTTTGTAGGACAAAAATCACATCAAACAAAGTTTTACTACATGAACCCCAGAAACAAATTCCATATCTCAAATGTGAATCAATGAGAGCAAAGTATACACTTTTGGCCATTTCTCTACCAAGTTCCCATGATGTTGTTCTGACTGCATAACAGCCAGATGACAACTTTTTCCTTAATTTGTCAATATGGTCACTAAACTTCAATTTATTGTCAATGTGTAAACCTAGAAACTTCGTATCTGTTCAATTACTAATTACTTGATTACCTAACTGAAGTTCTCCCTGCAGAGTGCAATTGAAAGTTAGGACACTTGTTTTAGAGATGTTAAAGGACAACATATTAGAATCGCACCACTTTTTCACCTTAGCAATATCGTTACTAATTGTTTGTTGTAAGTCATAACTATTTCTACTGTGCCAAAATAGTGTGGTGTCATCTGCAAATTGGGTAAATTTTCCTATAATATCGATCGACGCTAGGTCATTGAGGCACTCCCCAACTAACCTCCAATCTACATGATATATTACCTTAGAAAGTAGAAGGTAAATTCAAATGAGGACAGGAAAAATTTCGGTATATGAGCTATGAATATCATATCATATATAAAAATGATTAGTTTAAAATCATTCCAAACATCGAAATCCATTTTATGTAAGTAAACTCCGTAGTCTTCTTGCAGATAACTTGGCGCTCTTTCGATGTTCAGCAGCTTCAATCTCAAGGACATCGCCAGATGGCCTGCAGAGAAGGTATTTCAATGAAAGACGGGACTCAACCAAATTCATTATAACAAGAACAAATGCACTTAGAAAGTAGAAGGTCGATTCAAATTAGGACAGCAAACATTTCGGTACATGAGCTAGAAATATATCAAATAAGGCTAAACAAATTCCAGATGATAAATAAAAAAAATTGGACATTCAATTCATGTAAGTAAACTCCGTAGCCTTCTTGCAGATAACTTGCCACTCCCTCGATGTTCAGCAGCTTCAATCTCAATGACATCGGCGGATGGCCTGCAAAGAAGGTATTTTAATGAACGTTGGGACTCAACCAAATCTATTATTACGAGAACGAATGGTTTTGCAATTTTTGTAGAGAAGATAAACCATTACCATCCAATAGTGAAAGCAAACTCGCACAATAATCAAAATGAGGTTGTATGATTGTTCGGTAAACAGTGACAGATTGCAGCCCTACTTTTATGGAAAATAGGTGCATTTGCAAACGGCAGCTCTTTGTCAGTAGGCACTATGGGTTCGAGTTATCAAAATGAGTTAAAATAGCAAAAATTCAGTTATCTAGCAATCATAAGGTTAAACAAAAGAGATGGGGCGCCACTGCAACTTTTAATTCAAATGAAATTTTACCTACCTGGAAAGTTGAGCAACCATATAATGAATAATATTAGTTGTTATCCCAGACTAAAAGACCTAAATTCACATTAGAGATGTTGTTAGTTGGAGTGTCATGTCAATAAACAAATAAAACAGTCATATAAAATACCCAAAACATTTAATAATGATGATAGGACTCATATATCACAGGTATTGACAAACATGCATAATCAAAAACATTAGATACCGATTTCCTCTTAAGAAACTCACTTAACTGTTGCCTGCTACTATGTGGATGAAAATATATACAGTGTGTCCACCTTAAGGACTTACCACCCTTGTAAAATCGTTATTATCCGACCAATTTCAAAAAACCTTTTTTTGTTGGATAAGTATTTGAAATGTCCATCCAACGAGACCTTGGGCTGTTATCGTGGCCAACTGCGACAAATTTCAATGACCCATATTCCAGAAAGTACTATTAGGGATTTTTTTCCACGAAACTTGAAGATGGATTCTGAATTAGTACCACTTGAAATATACCTGTACCAATTTTCATCATCATAAAACACAGGGTGTACGAAAAAACGAATCATCATTTTCTTCAAATAGGTTATCAGCACATGTAGTTCTGTCCACAAATTATCATTGAGGTTTCAAATATACCTGTACCAATTTTCGTCATTTGAATATACAATGTGTCTGAGAAAAAAATTAAAAAGGATAGGTAAGCAATATTTTTCATCCTGATAATTCTTCACTCAAAATAAAAAGATGAAACAGGATCACTTGGAACATACCTGTGCCGATTTTCATCATCATTAAACACAGGGTGTTCGAAAAATCAAATTAATATTTTTTTCGAGTTGATGAAAAAATATTGCCTACTTTTTCTTTTCAATTGTTTTTTTATACACATCGTATTTTTGAATGATGAAAATCGGTACAGATATGTTCAAAGTGATCCTCAATAATAATGTGTCATCAATTCTTCTCAAAAATACCACAATACTACATTTTCCGATCACCTATTTAAAAAAAAATCATAATTCGTTTTTTCGGACACCCTGTGTTTTATGATGATAAAAATCAGTGAAGGTGTTTTTCAAGTGATCGTTATTCAGAATCCATCATTGTTTTTTGTGAAAAAAAATCCCTAATAGTACTTTCTCAAATATGGGTCAATAAAGTTGGCCACGATTACAGTTCATGAGTAAAATCACTCCCTTGTTGGATGGACATTTCAAATTTCCATCCAACAAAAAAAGTTTTTTGAAATCGGTCAGATAATAACAATTTTACAGTGGTGGTAAGTCCTTAAGGTGGTCACACTGTACATATATAAATTAACCTTATATTGTACTTGAAAACTCAAGAGCTCCTGTAAGGACGTTATTAAATATGGAAAAATTCTACCAACGCATAGTCTATGTGGAGGGGAAGTATGTACCTTTCATGTGTGATTTCATCAATTTATGACCTGGCTATGATTTGAAAATAGACCAATATACACACTAGCAAAGGGCATTATGAGTGAATAAAAAATGAAAAATAAAAAATATATTTTCATGTCAAAAACCTGTATGGTGTGTCCTACACCAGTTAGTCCTTAATAAATGGCTTCAGTGCCACCAGATGAAGCTGCTGAGAGGAAGGTTGACGGAAAGCGGGGTGCTGACTTCACATCCATGGATGTCAGATGACATTGACAGAGTTGTCATATTTCCACTTTGAAAATCCATATCAGGAAACAAGCAGGGGACGATATCCAGAGTCCAGATTCCAGACTACTATATAGCCACCGAAGGCCTTGTAGAAATAACAGATCCTGGTAGAGCAATGACTCCTGGGAAGAATAGTGCTCCTGGTAGGATAACTCCCGTTGTAGAACTCCCGGTAAAACCCTTAAATATTTCATGATATGAGGTTCTGAATTTCTGGACTGCAGAGAGAAAACACGTGGAAATAATGCGAGACTCACCTTCTATGAAGGGTTGGGGATTGGAATGGCCTTAATGACGATGAAGGTAGGCACGTGGCTGCCTGGGTGATGAACCATGAAGATCCTGCCTCTTAAACCAAAACCAGAAAAAATCTGTAGAGTCCAGCAGTCCTTATAGATCAGCAAACAAATCCAGGATATCCTGATGTGATCCAGAACTCCAGGCGGTACAGGACTCCAGAAGCCGGTTCACACCACAAAAATGGCACTTGACCACCACGAAAAATTTTCTGAAGTGAGCTCTTGTCTCACGACCGAAAAGGAAATCCCTCCTCCAAAATCCCAGAAAATTCGAGAACAATTTAACAGTTTCCGCTTTTCACCTTGACGGAACATTTGAATATCCAAAATAAAAGATGTTATCGCTACTCCCTCCAGACACTTGATTCTTCCCAGATGTCCATCTGAACCAATCAGAATTCATTACTAAAATGACGTCACACTTTTGATCCGTTTTCTTCACGAATACTCGGCTAAGTTGGTTCGGCGATGAAGACATATCAATCCGAATCGGCGTTTGGCGCATGACAAGTTTGACACTGTTGACATGGTGTCATGACCAACAGCTAATTGACGTGAAGCGAAATAACTGATCAACAAAATCACCTGAATTTATCAAATGCATCAATCACGAAAATAATGCCAAACGAAGGAAGTTAATTGATTGATTCACAATGTTCAATTCCTAGTGGAACCATCCGCCTCAGCATTCCTGGAAAATCCAATACCTTTTGCCTTACTGTGATGGAGTTTCAAGTGGAAATAGCAGTGTGAAAAGTGAGTATGACCATGTCTCTGAAATGGTATTTCATATTACTTAATATTATTCATCTCTTTCAGATAGGTTCCTGTAAAAACCATCCGAATCATCCTTCTACTTGGATCACAACAAAGCAGATATAGCAAGAGATATCAACGTATTTATCGAAATAGTATTTTTATTTTATGTACAGTGTGAAATCTCAGGTGTGTATCCACATATCCCAGGTTTGAGAAAAATTAAATAATATAAAGCAGATAGAGTTCATTTTATGTCATTGAAAAATTTTAATCATGACATTGTGACAAAATATCCTGTCAGATGTGCTCAGCAGTAAAGAATCAGAAAAAATATACCGTAGTGAGAATTTACATGCTACAAGATGACTGAAACGATAAATTGGTCCTAATTCTAGGAAAGAAGAAAAGCTTTTTTACGATTTTTTTTGTAAATGTAAATGAGACTTAAAGTCTAGTGTATTGTCTACAATAAAGAGGAAAGAATTGATTGTTTGTTTGTATTGAATAGGCTCCGAAACTACTGGACCAATTTGAGAAATTATTTTTTCTACAAGCGTGCGTGATTCACCCTATACCCGCACGCAATTTAGTTTGGAAAGTGTCATTTTCCCGCAACAGTACGGGAAAATTTTCCCACACTAGTGCGGGAATTTTTTTCCCGCACTAGTGCGGGAAAACAAAGATATGATATAATCGCTAGTAATATAAGTTATTGGTGATGGAAAATAAAACTTTAAGATTGTTTGTTGCAGTATTAAGTATGTATGTTCAGAATCATCCATCAAATTGCACTATTTATTGTAAAAATTAAGAAATATTGAGAAATAAAAATGGATTATTATAAAAATCCCCCTATATAGATTTGGATTGATCTGACGGGAAACGTCAATTTGTCATGCCAAACAAACCTCAAATAAGTTTGAGATTGTCGAAGTGACAGACACAGCGTTACTGTCATTATCGATTCAGTGGAAATGCCACAATGTGATCAAAAACTTCTAGCTATAGGGATTTGATACAGATGCGTTAATATCACCAACGAAGTCTTAAGAAAGGTATGAGAAGCTATACACGCGTTAAATTGAATGGTACAACAATAAAGAAATGAAAAAACCGAATGAAGACTAGGTATTTTTGGCTCATTCCATAGAAGTGTTTGGAACCTAGAGACCAAACTCCTAATGGGCCTGCTGGCTTCCGCAATGAACCAACATAATGCGTCAAACTGTAAGTTCACAATAGCTATTACTAATAATTAATAGATAGAGAATATATATCTCTTGTTAGTTGTTCCTATTTGCTGGAATAATTAATTGAACGATTCAATCAATTTCTTACGCTTGTAGAAAAAATATTGTTCCTAACTCATGCGGAAAGTGTCTTTCCCGCACTCGACTGCTTGCCCGAACTCCGCTTCGCGTCGTTCGTGTCAACGGCAGTCACTTGCGGGAAAGAATCACTTTCCGCACTTGTTAGGAAAATTACTATTACCATTAGAAGCCAACATTATCCCTGATGAACACATGCTACTTTTTACCGCGAGAAAATGCTTCATTCCTGCAGGAAAACGGGTAATAGGACAACGGGTAGTAAAAATTATCCTTCCGTACTTATTTATTTCACATAACTGCTAAACGGCTGAACCTATTGGGTTGAAATTTGATATGGGTATTTCGATGGTTTCCTGGACAATTTAAAAATACAATTGGACGCGGTAGGTGGCGCTGCTGTCGGTACGTCAACTACTAAACGGCTTGACCGATTGGGTTGAAATTTTTAATACCTAAAACAACAACAAAATACAAAAGATACTGAGAAAATGAAAATAGGGGTAAGCATTCGATAGTAGCTATAGGTAAGTACAAAAAAAAATAAAAAAAGCTCAGAACGACAGTAACGAATGTCTTATTTTTTTTAAATGGGTTCACCAACCGTGCGAAGCCGGGCCGGACAGCTAGTTAATTAATAAGAGTGAAGAAATAAAAAAAAATCGCCTTTCACACTTTCTTGGACGGGGCTCTACTGCACTTAGGCTCAGCTCATTGCGTTCGGAACGGCATTTCGTGTCGAACTCTCTTAGGTTCCGCCCACTGTGCATTTCACAGTTTGGAACTTGCCGATTGGTTACTAAGTTTATGGAGTATATGGAGTTACAAGAAGAAATGGAAAAATATTTGCTAAAGAAATCTCAACTTTTCAATACATTTTCTGAAGTTAAAGCATGATTTCATGACCTAGCTGGTGTAGATTATCAGTAAGACTAACCTTCTAGTTGCTTCAGAAACATGGGATCCAATATGCTAGATATGTGTTCATCTGTGGCTTTATTCAATAATACTAGAGACCACACGACTTCTAACCAAACCGAGGATTTTCCTGCCTCGGACGGTGTCAACTGTGGCAGAAACAACTACAAAATATAAAATAATACAGGGATGAATATTTTGAATCATGTTAATTATCTTAACATAATAGCAAATTCAAACATATTCAGAACATTATGTGGGAGTGTGATATTGAGACAAAAAAGATCTAACATTAAAAATTGCTTCAGTAGTTGAATCTGAGAAATGAGAAAACGCTTCAGACCTGGAATAATTTTTCAGCATTTGTTGGCAAATAGTTGAGAACGGCCAAGGTCAGAAATAAGCTGAATATATCCTGAGGTCTGCACAATCCTTGGTTCTTGATCATCCATTCACTAAGGGCATCCAATAGAGCTAAAATGAAAAACAAGATAACAATTTGGGTGTAATTGGGCCTTCAGGCTACAATTCATGTGTTTATATCTTTCTTTCTTGAGCGCCATTTTGGAAGCTGATTTTACATGGCAAGGGAAGTCGAGTACCCACTCTCAATATCTTCCTTCCAGTGAATAATATGGAAAATCTAAAAGACCGGTCAATTTTATTTTCAAGGGTGAGACCTAAAATTGATATTTCCAGCCCTCTTGGTTCAACCCCCTAAGAGGGGTAGATTTTACTCTTACTATGGGCTCCGTGGCCGAGTTTGTCTATGCGCTGAAATTCGCTAGATAGCCGTTCACGATGCAGTTTCGACTTCTTGGGAGTTGGTTCCCAACTTTGAAGTAGCGATATACAAATTTTACATATTTTACAAATACAAATTTTACAAATACAAATTTTACAAAATTTTACAAATCATAAATAGGAAGGGGGGTCAAATGGCACATCATTCTGAAGGGCGTTCGATTCTCTTTCCAACGGCACCCTAGTTCTTCATTTTCTGTTGAGCAGTTTCCCAAAAATGCAATGTTTATTAAAAAACTTCCCAACTTCAATATCTTTCTTTCAGTAAATGATATGAAAAATCGAAAACACAGGTCAATTTAATTTTCATAGGGGACACTTTGGATGCTTATGTCTAGCCCACATGGTTCAATCACCTAGGAGGGAAAAATGTTACCCTAAGAATCTCATTTGAAAAGGGGGTCAAGATGCACATCGTTTTGACGGACGTTCAATTCTCTTTCCAACAGGATCCTAGTTTATCATATTTTGATGAGCAGTTTTCGAAACATACCTTTCTAAACTTAGTAATCAGAACATATCTGCACTGACCCCTGATTTATAGATTCAATAACGTAACGTAACGCAAGTACTTCCGTTACACGATAGAAGATAAAACATAGGATTTTTTTCATTACTGTTTATAGAATGTTGTTCCACAAAACACTGATCGTGGCTGCAACGCGAGAGATGCCCATTTTCATCTTTCTATACGTTCTCGTTGTGGAACGGTGACCAAACGTCATGCAGAAAGGAGGTTGGAATTAGGAATTGATTAAGATATTACTTATATAATAATAATTGTTCTACATATAATATACAGTGTGTCCCACTTACCATGCTCACCATGGGTATCTTTTTAACGGTGAGATATACGAGGTCGGTTAAATGACACCAAATGTGGAGTTTGTCTAGGCCAACTATAATGTGAAAAAATATTTTGATAAAATCTATTCGTTTTTGTTTTATACGCAAAAAAAACAGATTTTCATCATTTCCATGTCTCCTCCGTAACTTCTTTATTTATGAAAATATTCGAATAGGAATTTCACATTTTCATGGCAGTTTTTCAAAGTGATTTCGAAAAAAATATGAAATTTATACCAACTCTTCTAGAATTTGAGATATCAGCACCAACTTCAGTTTTTCAAATGTAGGTCATAGCTCACCTTGACTTAGTTACAAATAACTTTTTTTTCTCTTACAGAATATGATATGTGGCAGTAATATGTTTGTGTTGATAACAACGGAGTTATCGTCATTTATACAAAAACAAAAAATTATTTGGAAGCCGCCATCTTGAATTTATGAATTTTAACAAAAAAAATCATGATCTCCGACCTCAAAAACCACCACTTACCAATTTTTAATGGAATCGGACCAAATCTTGTCCGCCATCTTGGAGCAGCCATTTTTTTTAATCTCAACAAGAATTCCATAATGTATTGTCACCGAAATTATGAACACCTGCCAAATTTCAAGTTAATCGGAGTTATGGAATTTTTGTTGAAATTAAAAAAAATGGCTGCTCCAAGATGGCGGACAAGATTTGGTCCGATTCCATTCAAAATTGGTGAGTGGGAGTTTTTGAGGTCGGAGATCATGATTTTTTCGTTAAAATTTATAAATTCAAGATGGCGGCTCCCAAATAGTTTTTTGCTTTTGTATAAATGACGATAACTCCGTTGTTATCAACACAAAACAATTACTGCGACATATTATCTGTAAAAAAAAAAGTTATTTGTAACTAAGTCATAGTGAGCTATGACCTACATTTGAAAAACTAAAGTTGGTGCTGATATCTCAAATTCTAGAAGAGTTGGTATAAATTTCATATTTTTTTCGAAATCACTTCAAAAAACTGCCATCAGAATGTGAAATTCCTATTTGAATATTTTCATAAATAAAGAAGTTATGGAGGAGACATGGAAATGATCAAAATCTGTTGTTTGCGTATAAAACAAAAACGAATAGATTTTATCAAAATATTTATTCACATTATAGTTGGCCTTGACAAACTCCACATTTGGTGTCATTTAACCGACCTCGTATCTCTCACCGTTAAAAAGATACCCATAGTGAGCATGGTAAGTGAGACACACTGTATATATAAATAACAATGCCATCAAGGAGACTAGTTGTAAGAAGAAGATTGCACGGATATTGTACGGAATAAGAATATATTTGATAACTTCAATTTATCCATTCATCTATACAATGATGGAAATGAGTAGATGGTGCGCGTAGTCGGCCAATTATACATAAAGTAGATGGTGCGCGTAGTCGGCCATTTTTACGTATTGAAAACTAAAGAAACATCACTCGACCGCCTACTATAATTTCTCTACGTCACATCGAGCGAGACGTTGATTCTACATTTTTCCGCTAGATGGTGATGCTGCTATTGCTGCTGTGACGAATGGAAATAAAATGGCAAATGGCATTTTAGGTACGCGGAACATAATATGTAATAGTGGGATTATTTAACTCTGAATTCGAAAAATCTGCGGCAATTTAAAAAATTGACCGATGTCATAATTGTGCAATGTCGCCATCTATAGGAAAACAGCTAAAGACATTATTCACGGGAATTTTGGGAGATCGAGAAGAATCTCTGAAACAAAAGCGCTTCAGTAAGTACACCATCTACTCATTTCCATCATTATCTATACTATTGAAAAGGAATATTCTCAGATATATTATAAACATGAAAAAATTGATTCATTTGAATAAATACATTGAGAATTCGCATTCTCTATGTGATGAAATTATTAATTCTTTCTCGGTATATTCAACAGAAAACAACTACTTCCCTGGCTATATGCCACGACGAACATTGAATTATATCAATTGAACATACACGATAGGAATTTGAGAATAAAATGAATATCTTCTGAAATTGAGAATTGACATTCTCTTCCAGAATCGGATGAATAATATGATGAATATAACGATATAAAAATATATTACTTACCAAATTGGTATGAAAATTGGAATGTATGGGAGAAATATACTAGTATACATACTCTGTTCTTATTGAGTCGTGAATTTATCAAAAAATCATTCGTATCCATGATGTTTGGGATATATGCACATCTCTTTCACATAGGTTAGATGATTTTGATTCGAATAAAATTCATTTCGAGCTTCAAACTCTCCTCAGTAACCTGAAGTCCAGTCATTCCTTCAGCCATTCTTCATTTAAAACTCAATTTTCACATTTCTATAATGATATAACTAAAACTATAGTGGAACTGACATCTATCTGAGAATGAAAATTTGTTGACTTATCTCCAGTCATGTGGGTGGCAATTGTTTTAGATGTATGACAAAACTGACATTCATCATACAGGGCGTGGAAAGAAATTCTGAATTGAGAAAAAACCCAATCACGAATCTGCGATTGAAGGTCTATAAAAATAACAAGTTTCCATCGTTCAAGTTTGAACCCCTTGATTGGGTATGAAAGTATTGAAAAGGAATATTCTCAGATATATTATAAACATGAAAAAATTGATTCATTTGAATAAATACATTGAGAATTCGCATTCTCTATGTGATGAAATTATTAATTCTTTCTCGGTATATTCAACAGAAAACAACTACTTCCCTGGCTATATGCCACGACGAACATTGAATTATATCAATTGAACATACACGATAGGAATTTGAGAATAAAATGAATATCTTCTGAAATTGAGAATTGACATTCTCTTCCAGAATCGGATGAATAATATGATGAATATAACGATATAAAAATATATTACTTACCAAATTGGTATGAAAATTGGAATGTATGGGAGAAATATACTAGTATACATACTCTGTTCTTATTGAGTCGTGAATTTATCAAAAAATCATTCGTATCCATGATGTTTGGGATATATGCACATCTCTTTCACATAGGTTAGATGATTTTGATTCGAATAAAATTCATTTCGAGCTTCAAACTCTCCTCAGTAACCTGAAGTCCAGTCATTCCTTCAGCCATTCTTCATTTAAAACTCAATTTTCACATTTCTATAATGATATAACTAAAACTATAGTGGAACTGACATCTATCTGAGAATGAAAATTTGTTGACTTATCTCCAGTCATGTGGGTGGCAATTGTTTTAGATGTATGACAAAACTGACATTCATCATACAGGGCGTGGAAAGAAATTCTGAATTGAGAAAAAACCCAATCACGAATCTGCGATTGAAGGTCTATAAAAATAACAAGTTTCCATCGTTCAAGTTTGAACCCCTTGATTGGGTATGAAAGTATTGAAAAGGAATATTCTCAGATATATTATAAACATGAAAAAATTGATTCATTTGAATAAATACATTGAGAATTCGCATTCTCTATGTGATGAAATTATTAATTCTTTCTCGGTATATTCAACAGAAAACAACTACTTCCCTGGCTATATGCCACGACGAACATTGAATTATATCAATTGAACATACACGATAGGAATTTGAGAATAAAATGAATATCTTCTGAAATTGAGAATTGACATTCTCTTCCAGAATCGGATGAATAATATGATGAATATAACGATATAAAAATATATTACTTACCAAATTGGTATGAAAATTGGAATGTATGGGAGAAATATACTAGTATACATACTCTGTTCTTATTGAGTCGTGAATTTATCAAAAAATCATTCGTATCCATGATGTTTGGGATATATGCACATC